TATAAATAAATATATAAAGTGTATTTAATATAATATTTAAACATATATTTAAATTGTTTAAATTGCTACAAAATATTTTAAAAACTAAAATGGGAGGAAAAAACCTCGATCCCCCACTGTGAATTGATCTCAAACTATATTATCGCCAAGCGTCCACTCTACCACTTGACCACACAAGATCGTCTCTAACAAGTATATCTTAAAACCAGGCCAATGGTAAATTTTTGCCGCGGTGTACCCAGGCCAAAGCCCACGATTTCACTAGGTACACCGCCGCGGTTTATGCAGGCCAAAGCCGATGGTTTCGCTAGGTACACCGCCGCGGTGTACGCATCCACTTCGAAAAAAAACCCCCTCCATTGAATGATACTATTCGACGGTAAATTTAACATTTTGTTTCGCCCGCTTTCTTTTCCCTCCTCTAATTCAATTGTTAATACCTGTGACGCAATGAGAGGCGTGAAATGACCACCAGGACTGGACATAATGACATCACAAGCAGTGAAAAATCAATTGGAGTTCACATCCCTAAAAAAGAATTTAACTCTTTCCCTCCGGATCAACGCTCCCATCGTCGATTTGAAATGAAGAGTTCGGCGTTTCGACGATGTATAAAAACCTGTTTATTTCGGTTCTTTTCTTAGCTATTGGTATTTAGTTATTTTAAATCAATTCTAGAATGATTTCCCTTTCACAAACATCCGGTTTTACTGTGATTGAACGAAGAACGAATTGTTTGAAGCGGTTGTTTTGATTGTCCATTTTATTTTTGTTTACAAACATGAAATCTTGACCTGACCCATCTGGTGATCAATGTAATAAAGGTGGAAAATATTACTCTTATGATGATTCAGACAGTGATTTTATGATTTCAAATGCAGAGGCTGATTCTGTTGAATCGTATGATTATAATCCTAGTACTAGTGTTAGTATTAGTAATAGTAGTACTAGTGACAAAATAATGAAATTGGTAATTCATCAGCTGATGAACAACCAGCCCCGCCCCCCCAGCTAAAGGGCACATCCATATGGATTGTTTTTTAGGCTTACTATTGCTAAACCCAGATGGAAATATGTGACTAATGTATGGTAAATTCTCTATTTACTATTATAAATTTTAGTACATACAAGGATACAGTGCAATTATTTTTAAAATATCAACAGATTGTTTCCAGTGGAATTAGTTAAATTTTTTTCCTATTTTTTTGTGTGGTGGTGACAATGGATAATGTGCTCTGAGGTTTAATTTTTTCTTTTTTGAAAGTTGATCTTTATTATTATTTGTGATGCACATATGGATATAGTTCAGAAAAAAAAACATTTTTGTTACACTTTGGATTATATATTTCTCTTTGTGTGACTTCGAAGGAGCGTTTTGTGAACATTTGGTGAGTTTTTTAAAAGAAATTTTTATTTTCCTTAAATCACAATCACATTTATTTATTAAAATTTAAACCCAAATCTTGTTTGCTTGCAAAGAGCATGCATTTCACTTTAATTCCATACCAATATTAACATTTTCTGATTAAAAACAAAAAAGTTATGAAGGTTTAGAGAAAACATAGTAGTGCGTAACAAAAATTTGAAATAGATAATTCCGTCAGAACATGGAAAATAATTCCGGAGGGAAAGAGTTAATCCCTATTCGAGGGGCGCCAAAAGGCACGAAGCCAATCTTTGGAAGCTTGAAACTAACTTTTTGAGAGCTGAAAACTACTCTGACACTGACAGGTCTGACGGTGGCAAAAGGAAGAAGGAGAAATAATAAATAATCACGATTATACAGACTGTATTCCAAAAGCGATTTTATTGTTTCCAAGAGTAAATTCAACTAAAATTTTTATTTTCTAAATGTCTAATACCATTGGACACTACTGTGATACCTTGACCACCCTAGGTTAGCTACTTTATTTTAATGTTTTTAAAAAAAAATCTGAAAGGTTACGGGCAAGAGAAGATCAAGACAAAACAGCGACCCAGTAATTTTTAAAGTCTAGTTTTTTCCCCACATAAGATAATTTAACTCTTATGTGTAAGAATGAGTTTTCCCGATACTGCCAGCCCACGCCACATCGACAAGATCCGGTTGAGGGTGATTTTACTGAATCATAAAGTTTGTTCATGAATTGTCTAAATAGTTGATAAACATACTATACTGGGACAAACAAAAACTGGGTCACTCACATCAACGTCTTACGCTATTATTAACTACACGAATTTTGCCGACAAAATAGTCTTATACAATTACTGAATTTTATGAAGGGGTTTTCCCCCTTTTAATAGATGGTTTAATAAAGATAGCGTGTTGATTATACTTGAAGCAACGTTGACTAATGCAGAGTCGATCAACTCATTGACAATCAAAGTTATTTTTCATAATCAATGTTGAAACCATGTTATTGTCATTCATGAGACATTTCCTGCTGTCATCGGCATACACACAAACCAATGTTCCCTCTAAGGTTTGTTGGTTTGTGTACAAAATCATAAAGTTGTGTGCAAATTTTTACAGCATCAATTTTTTTGTGCGCAAAATTTTCAGCCCACAGACACAAACACACACTTAAGTGGACATTAGCTGCGCGGTACTCAAAACTGCTGCGCGGCGTCTGTGAGATTGCTGCGCGGCCGCGCAGCTTAAAGGAACATTGATACCAACCTGTGTGATAAAAAACTGAACGAGTCAAACAACTTGCATACAAATATGAACATCAGTACAGAAAAAATTTAAAGTTAAAAAAAAAAAGAAGTTTAAATTTCAAAAATTTAATGATAAAAGTTTTAAATGCATGAAATCTTTAACTTTAAGAAAGAAATCTGGATTTGTTTGAAAACTCAAACAAGTGTCATGCGATTATTTCATTCCTACACGATGGAGCTGAGAAAAGATCGTCTTAATTTAGATAGTATGGTTCTTAAAAAACAAAAACAAACATGAGTCTCGTGTTCCAATACGTCAAAAACACACTGAAGCAAGCACTTCCGGGTCAGTTTTCTAAATTTTGCAAAATGCCCTTGGAAACTGTTGAACAGTCAAAGGGAAAGATGAAATACAAAAATCTACTCTGCTCTAATAATATAATTTTGGTGGCTTTCGCGCCCCCCCCCCTCCCCCCTTCTGGATTATTAATATTATTATTTTGCATTTTTAAATGCATTAGTCTGGCAAAACCTTACGAACACCAATGGTGACCTCTATTTAACTAATCTGACACACATTCCCACAATGATTGTTCAATTTTTATCTCATGAACATCGGAAATTACTCTGTAATATAATACACATCTTCAGACAATCTAGAAGATTTTTTAGAAATGTTGGGGTACACCCAACTTTCAACATGTAACATGAAATAACATTGCCATTATCAATATCAACCGATGTTTATTTTAGTTGTTGTGGTTTAATTTTTATAATTTTTATAATTGCTTCTTGGACACAGATTAAGATAATCAGTCTCCCATTTTCTAATTGTGACTGTGAAATCTCTCTATCAATCAATGGTTTTAACGATAACCATTTCATAATGCTAACCATTTCATAAAATTAACCATTTCATAAGTTAACCATTTCATAAAGATAACCATTTTATAAAGCTAACCATTTCATAAAATTAACCATTTCATAAAGCTAACCATTTCATAAAGCTAACCATTTCATAAAGCGAACCATTTCATAAAGTTAACCATTCCATAAAGTTAACCATTTCATTTTTGTTTGTGTCATTAGATGATGGCTGTCACAAGATCATCAAGTCATTAATCATGTCAAACCTAGGGAACGATGGAGAATGTCAGTTAGAAGTGGACTTTGTGGATGAAGGTGACCTTGATGGACGTTACAAAACGTGTTTAAAAAATCCTGGTCACAAAGAATTTTTGTCATTGACATCTTTACAATTTAAAGATTTACATGAACATCATCGGACACCTTGTACCTTAGATTTTATTTATCATGTGGCACAGTTCACTGTGAGGTTAGTGGTAGATTTCATCAGTCCTGACAGACCATGTCATTGTGGACAAGAAAACACAAGCCAAGACAGACAATGTAAATGTTTAAGGGGAAATATCAGACACGTAGGAAGTGGTTTGGTAACAGGACTGGCTGGACCTGATGAACTAACACCTGACATGAGAGACTCCACAAAAACCTATTTTATGATGGTCACAGCCGCACATGTTATATTTGACACAAGTGAAGCCCAGAAGACAGAGATTGAATTTTTTTATGATGATCCACATGACAGGAGTACAGTGAGGAAAGCTTTTGGTTTGAGAGTTTTAAATACAAACTTAGAAGCTGACTTTAGTGAAGTGCTCTGTCTTACTGAGGATCACGTGATTTCTGGAAAATTGAATAATCCTAAGTTCAAAAGAAAATTAAGCGATGAAATAAGGCTCTCTTTAATTCGGTCGCCTAGCGATAGTTTTCAAAAGGAACGTAAGACATCATCTCAGGATTTTACTTTCCACATCTCCCATCCACACGGGACATCAAAGAAAGTGACTTTAGGAAACATTGTGAGTGCAGACACACGTCAAGGACATTACCAACTAATTTATAGTCTGGCAACATGTAGAGGGTCGTCTGGTGGACCTGTATGTGTTATTCCAGAAAATATATATATCACAATCTATAAACTTATAATCTATAAATTTAGAAACTTAGAATCTATTTTTAGTGTCCCACATGCAAGACATCATGACAATAATTTGAACTCAAGTTCATCGTGGACTCTGTATTTTTCTGATCATGTTGACTTGATGGATGAGCCCGAATTGTCAGTGGAAACTGAAAAACATTTTAAACAAAAGATAGTTCTTTTAAATTCATTGGATATTGAGGATTTGCCACTGGGATGCCGCTTTTATCATACTTTACATTTGATTAAAAACATCTCTAAGTTTACAGTTGCCATACATGTTTTAAATGATGCAACATTTGATTCAAAAAACATGGCAAGTGGATTTGTTACCAGACTGGCTAACAATGATGATATAAGACCAGACTTGGAAGACACAACAAAGACATATTTTATAATGGTCACAGCTGCACATGTTATATCTGTTACAAGTCAAGCCAAGGAGACAGAGATTAATTTCTTCTGTGATGATCTACAAGACATGAGTTCAGTGAGGAAAGCTTTGGGTTGGAGAGTTTTGAAATCAGACAAGGAAACTAATGTAAGTGAAGTTCTCTGTTTCACCACAGATCACGTTATAAGTTCAATGTTGAAGGAACATTTTTTAGAACTGTCACCGAACAATATTCAAAATGTTGGAAGTTCAATGTCAAAGGAACATTTTGTTGTGGAATTTACAACAGCTTTGAAGAAATGTCTTACACATTCATTATTTTGTTCGGTAGTTTCTAGAGATTTTGATATTCAATTTGAAGAGAGAAAAGATTTTCTTGTTCAGGTTTACATGAGTTTAGAAACTGCTTTTGAAAGACTCGTCCTCATAACTTTATTACTACACATACACAGCTTTGGCCCCGATATTTTGTTAAGTTTTTGTGAAGAAGCACACAATCTAACAGGTTCTTTAACATTTAAATCATATGTTCTTAAATATGTAATGCTTCTTTTTAAATATGTGAAAGAGAAGACACATTTTAAAGACACATTTTTATGTGAATATGTAAATAAAAATAAAATGAATTTAATAGAATGCATTAAAAACACAAGCAAAGAGCTGTACTGTGAAATGATACTTGGAGAAAGACAGAGAATCACCTTTCAAATCTCACACCATGGAAAGAAAGAAATTTTCCTTAATATTCCTTATTTAACAGATGATATGAGAGAAACGAAGAGGTGTGGTGTGCATGATGATTCTCCTGTCTTCACAATCCTTAGGGATTTAATAGATATCGATGATATATCCGAGTCAAATGTGTCAATCATAGCTTTCCGGCTTTATCAATCTGATCTTTATCAATCTATCTTTGACTGGTCTGACAAGAAATTAAAATATAATCGGGCAAATAGTGCTACCATCTCTTTCCCATGTTGTGACACAGGAACGATTCATAGGATAAGATTCTGGGAGAGGTACTTTATGTATGTGGAGAGTCAGGGTTAAACCTTGTATGTGACTCCTGACTTGGGTACATCATCATTTGTGAGGGCTTGCAATCAACTTATATTTTTGTTTTTTTTAAAAAAGAGTGATGATGACTCTAGCAATGTTATTTAAACAAATTGATAAATTTCTAGTTTTTGGTAAGTTTTCTGACAATAGATAGCACTCAAAGAGAAAATAAAACAACTGGGAATATTATTATTATTATTATTAGTGATCTTATATAGCGGGGTACCCCAGCCTACGACTGGGCTCACCACGCTGTACATAAAAATATTAGCAAAAGAGACATAAGTGTGACATTAAAATAAAGTAAAATTACAAAATAAAGAGCAGAGTATAACAAATGTATATTCACCCACCCCACCCGAGAACTTTTACAAGGTAAACCATGGACGGCAGCCAGCAGGATCATTTATCGGTCAGACGAGGGGATTCAGACAGGGTAGTATAATTTAAAGAGATGTGTTTTCAGTGCATTTTTGAAGGCCTGGGTGGTTGGTATATTGCGTATGTTTAGTGGCAAAGAATTCCATTGTTTGGGGGCGCAGAAAGAGAAAGATCATTCACCATATGTTATAGTGCGTGTCTTGGGAACGGACAGAATAGGCGTGTCTGCGGAGGAGCGAAGCTGTCGAAGGGGTGAATAGACAGAAAGAAGTTCGGTTAGATAGGAAGGGCAGGAATCCGGGAAAAAGTTGTAACAGAGAACAGACAGTTTGTAGTCAATGCGTGCCTGTATAGGTAGCCAATGAAGGGAATGGAGTAGTGGAGTGAAGTGATCACGTTTTTTTTTTGCCTTTAGAACTAGCCTAGCAGCTGAGTTTTGAACTTTTTTGCAGTTTTTCAATGCAGTGTTTTGATGAGCCTGACAGAAGAGAGTTGCAAAATTTAATCTTTCAATACAACATAATGTAAAATGCAAGCATTCAATTAACATTACTATTTGAATTTTTCTCTTAAAAATTTTTATTCATGATTTGAATATATATAATACAATCATAATCATTTGATAATTATGGTGTATTTTTATATATACTATGTAACCTTGTAACACCATAAATGTAACTTTATTAACGTAATGTAAATATAGCTTTGTTACAACATAACTGTATTTGTTTTAACATAATGTCATTATAACATTGTTACCACATAACTGTAACTATTTTAACATGTCATTTTAAATTTGTTACCATGTAACTGAAACTATTTTAACACATGCCATTATGACTGTAATTCATTCAAGGGAAGCGTGGTACGCCTTCTAAGAGTTTTTTCTGCTATAAGTCTTTAAGTTGTAAATAATGCGCAAAGTAGCTGAAACCAAACGTTTGCTTAGGAACAGCCTCACCAAAAATGTGTGGGTAATGTCATCGGCATGTGGTTGCCACTACCAAAACATGCCTTTTATCCGCCAATAGAGACATGCTGACCAGTTCGTTCAATCATAAAGCCAATACAGGTTTACCGACCAGTTCCTTTAGTCAGCACGCCAATACAGACATTCTGACTAGTTCCTTTAATCAACACGCCAATACAGACATGCTGACCAGTTCCTTTACTCAGCACGCCAATACAGACATGCTGACCAGTTCGTTCAATCATAAAGCCAATATAGATTTACCGACCAGTTCCTTTAGTCAGCACGCCAATACAGACATTCTGACGAGTTCCTTTAATCAACACGCCAATACAGACATGCTGACCTGTTCCTTTATTCAGCACGCCAATACAGACATTCTGACTAGTTCCTTTAATCAACACGCCAATACAGACATGCTGACCTGTTCCTTTAGTCAGCATGCCAATACAGACATGCTGACCAGTTCCTTTAGTCAGCACGCCAATACAGACATGCTGACCAGTTCGTTCAACCATAAAGCCAATACAGATTTTACCGACCAGTTCCATTAGTCTGCACGCCAAAAAAAAAAAAAATGCTGACCAGCTTCTTGAAATAAAACTTATAAAAATATTGCGTCATTATAAAATTTATTAAACGACAACGGTCTCATGGTTTTCATTAATTCTATTTAAAAAAATATATAAATGTGTTTAAGAACACTTTGGTAAAATCTATAAATAATCTATAACAATTTTGTTTTAATAAAAATCTTAGCAAATGGTCTCTCTGCTAACACCGATACGTTTATAATATTTTAAAACATAAAGCAAATGCTGTTTTTTTTTTGCTTGTTTTTGTTTATGCTTGTTTTACCGGACACATAACCAAACATTGATTTAAGTATTTTTTTTTATAAAAAAAAAAATAATAGCATTATTGTCTGCAAATTTTATTAAAGCCAAATAACCATTATAAATGGTCGAGTACATCATAAATGTTTGAGACATAATGTTTTGTGATTTATAGTTTGTTTTTTTGTTTTTTTTAACCTAAACATAAAAAAAAAACAACAACAAAGAAATCGATAACTTTTTGATTTTAGTTATTTTCAATTCTAGTTTTAAAAAAACATGGTCTCTAACGCCACAGGGATAGATGGATGGAAACCACAGCACACTTCGGGCATAAATATTTATAACATGTTGATAAATTTCATTTTTTTTTTTTTTAAATATTGTGAGCATTCATAATTTGGCATAGATCATATTTTTAAAAAAAAATTATAATTAAAAAAAATCTTCTAAAGTACACTTTTAAAAATTGAATTTAAAGCAACAACAGCAAAACCATAATAAATTATTTTTTCAGGTTAATTATTTTATTTGTCTTTTTAAAAAAAAAATAATTAATCATTGCATTATAAAACAAATTATGGCGCTCCCAACAATGACAGTAGCAATTTCCAAAGGAACGGTTGAGACGACAACACTAGGCACATTTGTGTCTATTGCCTCAAGCCTTCAAACCCCTAGTGCATGATTCCCTCACAAAGTGGCACTGGAAATCTGTGAAATTTCCTCATCAACACCAGAATCAGAAACATTGCAAATCCCATCTAGGAGCCAAAATGATCAGTAAATTGATCGTGGGCCCTTAAGATAAGAAGAAGAATAATTCTGGAGCGCCCCTTCTACTTGAGTTGTTTGACGTGGCGTGCACTCATGTAAAAAGCACTTTATAAGAATCCCAATTATTGATGCCCCTCCTAAGCGCGTCCCACTTTTTCCCTCTTGTTGTTAAGAATATATGACTTGCGTGGTGGGGTAATGGGATATGCCAATAGAATGTTCATATATTTCGTGTTCTTGCGTTCAAACACCTAAGGGGTTTTACTATCAAGGAGTCAAGTTTATTTATGTTTTAGAGGTTTGGGTGTGCGGCAGGGGGCTGGGGACTTCAACTTAAGCCCCAGGCAAGACAAGATACGCCACAGTCAATTAGTTGATCTTATTGGGTTTAGCAATATTTCAATGGCCAAATATTTTACATATCGGAATTTGATGAAAAAATATTTAAAACCATTGAGAAAAATATTCTCAAACTTCTTCCGAAGACACATTTCAAGCGAATGAGAGAGAGAGGGTGGATATTTTAAATTCTCTGGTGGCGTCATTTTCTGTCAGTCGATAGTCGTAAAAAGAAGTTTTATGTTTTAACTTAAAGAAATTAGTTCGTTTTATAACAATGCCGTAAAATACAATGCAAAGGCACTGACACTTTGTGGGTGCATTGACATACGTGTAAATCCATTCCCAAAAAACATACAAGTTGGAAAGGAAACACATTGTGGAAATGAGTCTATTTAAATCCTAGGATATCGGGATATTCCAATTTTTCAAATATATAGTTTAGTGTTAAGTATTAGGAAAAAATTCCTTATTTTTAATAAATAGTAAAAATAATAATTCGTTAAATCAATTTCAAGTGAATAAAAAATATGTGGAGGCTTCAAATCTCAAAATATTTTACACTTCAAATACATACAAATGTAAATCTTTAAAAACACAACCATGTTTTTTTTGTTTGTTTTTTTTTCACTTACTGAGAAATGAGATCAGGGATGTGCCCAACGATTGGCTAAGATTTTCTTTAACAATAATAAGAAAAAAAAAATCTTTAAATGTTCAGCAAAATAAATTAAACTGAAAAAAGAGCAAATATTTGTGTGAGATTTTTAGTACTACTTAAAACTAAAAGGTGTTGGCGACGTGGAAAAAAAAGAGTAGAAGTCTCCTTTACAATTAAGAAATTAATTTTTTTTTCTCTAATGATTTTCAAACAGTATAGCTCAGGAGATGGTCAAAAGTTTTGTTAAATTTTAATGTCGATGAAAAATATAAACATCCTTTCAGGTTACACATATTTAAAGAGGTGTCCATATTTTTATTTTTTATTTAAAGAAAAAGTTTTCTTGTTTTTTTTTTTTTTTTTTTTTTTTTTAATTTTAAAAAAAAAAAAAAAAAAAAAAAAAAAAAAAAAATGCCTGGTGGATTAGGGACGTGAAAAAGTGTACGGTGTGACGTGACGTACGTTGTCTAGAGGTCGGTCCCCTGCGTACTAGCCACAGAACAATTTTCAAGGGTCTAGAACCCCTGTTGTCTAGCCCCTAAAGAGCTGATGTGCTGAATAGTCCAAGTATTTATTAAAACAAACGATGCAAAGCTTCAGGGTTCATAGGATTTATTTGCCTCCATCTTTCAGGAAAACGGAGGAATTACTCTCTTACATGTGAGATAATCACTAGTTTGTATAATATCTCTATTTTATATTTTAATGTTTCAATTTAGAATTTATTTTTATGATAAAGGTTGTTTTAAAATTTTAAATTTAAAAAAAAAAGTTTAGTAACAATTAAAAAAACAATTTTCTTTTTTCTCCCCTCAATCTGATAGTTTTCACTCATAAAAATTGATATTTAATCAAAATGATGCCTTTATTTTGCTTGTATTTTTTAAAATGGTCATTCTTTATAATGTATAGTAAACGATTTGTTATTAAATACTAGAATAAGTGACCCGATGTTATTGGGATAATAATGGTCGGTCCTTTGCGAAAATTTCTAACTGCTATTGCAAAAAGTTATCCCAAGTCATAACTTTTAAAATGTAATGATATTTACGTTTCTAACATTAAGTTTTGAGAAGTGTGCTATATATGACACGCATACCCTACACCATTACACGCTCCTAAACTACTTTTCCCCCTCTAAACATGACCTTAAATTACCCAGTCTAAATTATCACTAATTATATTGCTTTTGTCACTAAAGAAGTTAATTGAGGGACAATTACTACGCTAGAGAAATACTTGAATTACAACTTTTTTCTCTCAAAATTTTTCAAAAACCTAATCTTAAATTACAACAAAAACTCTAAATATGATATATTTTGTGTTACAGGAATTCGATATATATTGATATCTTCATAAAAAATTTAAACACATTTTTGACTTCAAAAAAAAAAAAAATGCATTATCAGAAAATCGTAAAACAAAGAATTCTTTTATCTAAGAAGAATCTCGCAACTGTTTTTCACGCCTATATCAGATCTGACTGTCTTTTTAAAGAATTAAATGGTTTAAATTTAATTTTCAAGCGTGTAAGATAATTGGGTTTTGATACTCATGAATACACTTAAATAAATGTACCCAAGTTTTGTTAATGCCATTGATTTTCTTAATTGGTTTTTTGTAAAAAGAGAATTTAACATCTCTTTTTTTCACAAATGTAATACCATAGGATTTAAATATGTCATTTACTTTTAATAAAGGAAAAATACATTATCAGTTTGTCACGCGTGGTAATTAACTTTAAAGAGTTTTGGAGAAATAGGCTATTCGCGCTATGACGTCATTTGCGTGATTATTTAGAACAAACTAATTTTAATTTTATTTCGTAATATTAACAACGCACAAAAAGACGCACTAAAAACGACTGATGCTTGGGTTTTCCCGATAAATGTGATTACGGTGTAATCCTTTGATCATGATTTAACTGCTAGCAAGATCTCCTAAGCTGTGAACACCATTAAATGGCATAATTATCTCACGATTAAATGTCATTAAAAATTCCTTTTATCAATGTTTGATTCATTTTGGAATAAATCATACATTTAGGTAATTATCATCATTTAGTTGTAATACTTCTACTCCTAGTTGACTATGTTCATTGTGCTTCAATGATTTCTAACTGAGCCACAGGCAATCTACCTTTCACAACATTACACACAATAAAAGCAGCACGACCATAGATTAAAGCTGCTAAACAATAATAAGTATTATTCTAACAGAACTACTGGGCACGCCCCGCGTGGGCAGACAAAGGGTGTGCTCGGTACCTGCCGGACATAAAACAGCTCCCACAGGGCTGCCGGTTGTGATACTTCACAGCCGGAAAATTAGGCAGAGCCAGGGTAGGGATCATGATTACAAGTTGCCGGTGACGGGTATGAGGCCAGAGGCGAGGGTGGTAACCTCTGGCCGAGGATTCAAACAATGCAGCCCTGAGAAAGCTGTCCCCAGGCAACCGTTTCGTCCCAGCTACAGCGCGAGCTAGTTGCGTTGTGGAAACCCACTGTGGAATCCCTCTTATAGGGCGTCCGACGCTTTCCCGGGATGGGTGGGGGAAGATATTAGGACGTAAATTTTCCATCCCAACTCCATAAGAAAGTCGATCGAGTGCACTATTTAAACGCATAGTGCACGACCGGGTGCCTGCTCGTTGGGGCGGCCCCCAGGTGGGGCCCTGGTCGAGCGCCCAGGCGCCCGGGTGGGGGACTTGCGTGGGGGGCCCCGGTGGGGGCCGTCCTGACGAGTGGGCATCCCCGACGTGCCGCTCCGCGGCCCGATTCGTCGGGCCGGGGAGGGGTGATTTGGGGGGGGGGGCATAAAGAGTGCAAACTCGCCCCGCTGACGCCATTTCTTGATGTAATAATTTAATGGACTTTGGTAACATTTCTATAAAAATTAAAATCATCTAAGCGATGGACTCGTAGTTACGGCTGATGTTTACACAAAGAAGCTCAAGAAATCTTTACATTAACAAAAAGTTGTATACACTGATATTTTTAAATTAC